GGGAGGCGGTATTTTCCAACTCACGAATGAAAAATTAAAACCATCATTTTTTTTTCATAGTATTAACAGAATTTGAAAAACCTAAATGGATTATTTTGTGATAACTTTAAGGGGTAGGTAAGGGGTGGGGGAGTTTAAGGGGGTGGGTTAAAGTGGAGGGGTTAAGGGGGAAATGTTAAAAGAAGGGGGTTAAAGGGGGAGGGTTTTAAGGGGAAAGGTTAAAGGGGAGGTTAAATGAAGAGGTTTAAAGGGGAAGGGTTAAGGGGAGGGGTTAAAGGGAAGATTAAGGGAGGTTAAGGGGGAATTTGTCTCTAGTACTTTTCCCCCTCCTCGTCTTCCTCTTCCTCATATTTATTAATTTTGACTTTTCCTTCTCATTTTCTACATATTTATCTTTCCTCTCCTTTCTCTCCTCATTTTCCTCTATTTCTCTTCCTCCCTCCATCTCCTCTTCTTCTCCATCTTACTCCTTCTCTTCTTCGCCCTCCTACTCTTTTTCATTCCTTCATTACTGTTATAGATCTGACCCGCATCCTCAAGTCCTCCTCTCCTTCTCTCTCCTTCTCCCCTCCCATCATCTCCCTGCTTCTTCTCCTCCTCCTCTTCCTTTCCTTCTATACTTCCTCCCTGCGCTTTATTCCTCATTCCTTCCTACTCTTCCTGCTTCTTCTTCCTCCCTCCTCGTTCTTTCCTCTTACCTCTTTTCCTTCTCCCCTTCTCATTATCCTTCTCCTTATTCCATCCTAGTGGCTCCCTCTTCCTTCTCTATCCTAGCCATTGTCTCCCTCTCTCCTCCCTTCCTCCCTCTTTTCCCTCTCTCTCATCTCCTCCGAACATTATCTCCATTTCTCCTTCCCTTCGTCTCCGTTTTGCCGCAAACTCCCTCCCACCCTCCACCCAACTCTCCCACCTTAACCTCCCACCCTAGCCTCCCACCCTTCCACCCTCCTCCCGCCCTCTCCTCCCTCCCTCCCGCTCCTCTCCCTCCCTCCTGCCTCTCTCCTCCTCTCCCTCTCCATCCCTCCTGCTCTTCTCCCTCCTCCCTCTTCTCTCCTCCCTCCGCCTCTCCTCCCTCTCCTGCCTTCTCCCTCCCTCCTGCCCTCTCTCCCTCCCTCCTGCCTCTCTCTCCCTCCCTCCTGTCTCTCCCTCCCTCCTGCCTTCTCCCTCCCTCCTGCTCTCTCCCTCCCTCTCCTCCTCCTGCCCTCTCTCCTCTCCCTCCTGCCCCTCTCTCCCCTCCCTCCCGCTCTCTTCTCCCTCCTCCCTCCCCTCTCCTCCCTCCCCTCTCTCCATCCCTCCCTGCCTTCTCCATCCCTCCCGCTCTCTCTCCCTCCCCTCCTGCCCCTCTCCCTCCCCCTCCCCTGCCCCTTCTCTCCCTCCCTCCCTCCTCCCTCTCTCCATCCTCCTGCTCTCCCTCCCTCCTGCCCTCTCTCTCCCTCCCTCCTGCCTCCCTCTCTCCTCACTCCTGCCCCTCTCCTCCCTCCTGCCTCTCTCTCCCTCCCTCCCTCCCTCCCTCTCCATCCTCCTGCCTTCTCTCCTCCCCTCCTGCTCTCTCCTCCCTCTCCTCTCTTCTCCATCTCCCGCTCTTCTCCCTCCCTCCTGCCCTCTCCCTCCCTCCCGCCCTCTCCCTCCCTCCCTCCCGCCCTCTCCTCCCTCCCGCCTTCCTCCCTTCCGGTCTCACCCGAGCAGACACAACACCGCCATTAACGATTCCCAGTTTGTTTCTCATCCCAGTCTCCGAGGACAGAGACTAGACCCTTGGTTGTGAAGACAGAGACTAGACCCCTTGGTTGTGAGGACAGAGACTAGACCCCTTGGTTGTGAGGACAGAGACTAGACCCCTTGGTTGTGAGGACAGAGACTAGACCCCTTGGTTGTGAGGACAGAGACTAGACCCCTTGGTTGTAGACAGAGACTAGACCCCTTGGTTGTGAGGACAGAGACTAGACCCCTTTGGTTGTGAGGACAGAGACTACCCCTTGGTTGTGAGGACAGAGACTAGACCCCTTGGTTGTGAGGACAGAGACTAGACCCTTGGTTGTGAAGACAGAGACTAGACCCCGTTGTGGAGGACAGAGACTAGACCCCTTGGTTGTGAGAATGAGACTAGACCCCTGGTTGTGAGGACAGAGACTAGACCCTTGGTTGTGAGGAAGAGACTAGGACCTTGGTTGTGAGGACAGAGACTAGACCCCTTGGTTGTGAGGACAGAGACTAGACCCCTTGGTTGTGAGGACAGAGACTAGACCCCTTGGTTGTGAGGACAGAGACTAGACCCCTTGGTTGTGAGGACAGAGACTAGACCCCTTGGTTGTGAGGACAGAGACTAGACCCCTTGGTTGTGAGGACAGAGACTAGACCCCTTGGTTGTGAGGACAGAGACTAGAACCCTTGGTTGTGAGGACAGAGACTAGACCCCTTGGTTGTTTTAAACGTCATTTGTGTGTCTACAATTATTTATCATTTGTTTTTTGCTTTGATTTATTTTTTTATAATTATTTTT